ATTATTGAACACCTGCTACCTTCAAGGATGAATATGTGGTGGGGGGAGAATAAAAGGCCCAGAGCGGAAGCAGGCGTGCCTCTGCCTTTCACACTCATGTTCTAATGCAGTAAGCAGATAGGATAACAGTACAAAGTCATTCAGCACTTGATTCCAACAGCAAGCCACGAGACCTCGGAACATCAGCCTCCTGGCCCTGTTGTTCCCGTGGAGAGCGGAGTTCTGCAGTGGCAGGACGCAGGGTGTGGGTGGTGCTGTGTCCATCCTCCCAGATGCCTCTGGGGCGCTGAGCAGAGAGAGCTCAGACCACAGCTGGGTGACCTGGACTAATGGGTGTCATTGAAACAGGAGAGAAACTGAGGCAGCTAGCAGCCGGGACAGCACGCACACCGGCACTGAGCGTGGACGTTCTGTGAACAGCAAGGAGACCCAGAGGGGTTTCTCAGATTTTACTCAGCCTAGGACGCGGGTGGAAGGAAGCCACTTTGCTTGCCTGGGTCCTGCCCCTGGTGTCAGTTGTTGTAGGTGTCCCGTTCGCCTTTCCGTCATTTACTGTTGAGTAACAAAGATGATGGCAGAGTGCACAAAATTATTTCCCGAGACAAAGCCCAGCATGTTTTCTTCTTTTTTAAAAAACTTGTGGCCGGACCGTGGTGCAGCAGGTTAACCCGCCATCTGCAGTGCTGGCATCCCACGTGCACCTGCTGGAGTCCAGGCTGCTCCACTTTCTATCCGGCTCCCTAATGCACCTGGGAAAGCAGCAGAAGATGGCCCAAGTCCTTGGGCCCCTGCACTCACGTGGGAGACCTGGAAGAAGCTCCTGGCTCCTGGCTTCCGCCTGGCCCAGCCCTTGTTGTTGAGGCCATTTGGGGAGTAAACCAGCAAATGGAAGATCTCTCTCTCTCTCTCTCTCTCTCTCTCTCTCTTTCTGTGTGTGTTTGTGTCTCCCTCTCTCTGTAATCCTGACTTTCAAATGAATGAGTAAATATTTAAAAAATTGATTTTATTTATTTGAAAGGCACTATTACAGAGAGATAGATATATATATATACAGAGAGAGAGGGAGAGAGAGAGAGAGGTGGGTCTTCCATTTGCTGGGTCACTCTCCAGATGGCCCAGTGTCAAGGGCTGGGCCAGCCTAAAGCCAAAAGCCAGGACTTCATCCAGGTCTCCCAGTGGGTGCAGGCACCCAAGCACTTGGGCCATCTTCTGCCAGGTGCATTAACAGGGAGCTGGATCAGAAGTGGAGCAGCCAGGATATAACCAGCATATGGGATGCCAGTGTCACAGCTCTTCATGCTATGCCACAATGCTGGTCCCCTGTTATCTTATTAATTGTTTTTTTTTATGCATCTTAAAAACAGAATTTAGAGAATGGTAATAAATAACATCTATGGCTGATGAAGCTTAAAAAATACCAGTACCTTTGAGTGTTCGGTTTGTGAGCAGATTGAAAAAGAATGAGCTTGAGATGGTAGAGGGTCAGCTTTGACATAGGTGAAAATGACACTTCGGTTTCGTGTTTGTGTTGGTGACTGTGAGTGTTTGGGGGACATCTTCCCCTGGGCAGGTGCGTCCTCAAGTCTGAACATGAGTGGGAAGAGGGGATCTGTAGAGCGTGCTGAATGTGGAGACTGAATGCCCCCTCAGTTCCCTCCCCTCGTGGCCCTAACCAGGCCTCAGAAACCAGCACAGCTGGTCTCACTGGGCACCCCCATCAGTGGAGTTAGAACATCCTGGGTGCTGTGTACGCACCGCCTCGTCCCTGCCCAGACAGGTGTGTGAGTCACAACAGAAGCCTTGAGAGGGTGGGCAGGGCAGGTGCACTTCCCAGCAGGACACGGTACCCCTGTAGAAGTCCAGGCTTCCGCTGCCTTCTGTGGAGCAGGTGCCGCGGGTTTCTCCAACGTGGGGCATTGTTTCTTTGTTCCAGAATTGGACTCCCAGAGGGGCCCCACACTGCAGCCTAAGCCACATGGCGGGTATTTGAGTTCATGGCACTGGGTGAACTCATCTCAAGCTTACGTCATCATTTAGGTGCGCAGAAAACCCACTGCGGGTTATAAGCTCTGGAGTCTTGTTTCTGCATTAGCAGGGAACCTGGAGAAAACTGCTGGGAATTGAAAAGTGTTTGTCGAATCCACTTCTTACAAGGATTTTTCTAGCTGCTGTGTGCAGTGGGCTGGACTGTCTGGTTTACTTTAGCCAGAGGAAAGCTGGTACTGATGGTTCCAAGTCGCCTCCCAGCTAGAAGACTCCGCAGACCTCATTTCCCCGAGGTGGGTGGAGGATGCTAGACAGGCAGAGAATTAGAAGAATTAGAAGAATTAGGAAGACATGGAGGGGGCTTCAGGCTGGCGGTCCCCTCCCCCACCAGCCCCGGAGCCTCAGTCCTCCCCACACTGCCAGTGCGTGATGCATGGCGCCTGCACTCGTCACAGGTTTCTGGGAAGTGCTGACCACTTCATCTGCACGCTGGCCGTCTGCCAGTGCATCTGCAAGGGCCCCGGCCTCGCCTGTGCCGCTCTCCGGGGACGTGGGGCAGGAGCAGCGGCCTGAGCCACAGCAGCCCTCGGGGGTCTTCCAGGCATCGGGGCGGGGAGCACTTATGGACCCTCTGCCAGCTGCCCCCTGTTGTGTCCCTTGCTCTCTGCTGGCAGCACAGCCGCCCCCGATCCCCGCCACTGCCACGGCCAAGCCAGAATCGGCAGCCGCTGTGTTTGCATTCTCTCTTCTGTAGCCTCGTACCCAGGTCCCTCTAGCTCTAGGCGTCTCTTGTCTGTTGTCTTGCCAAGTTCTGCTGCCTCACCGGCACACGTCCCCAGGTCTGCCGTCCTCACCACGTGTGTCGGTTGTTGCTGTCCCATGAGTGGCCTGGCCTGGTCAGCCCGCGGGGACAGGGAAGAGGGCACGCTGCATCCCTGGGCCCAGGTGGGGACAGACTCCAGCTGTTCCAGGTCTGCACAAGACAGTGACCACGGACGGCCCTTCCCGGCCTCACACTGGGCAGGCGTCCATTCCCAGCACAGCAGTGAGCTTGCATGGAGATGCGGGCCTGCCCTGGCACCTGTGTGTGCTTTGGTTGAGAGGGGAGAACAAGGAGCCCTCAGGCAGGCTGCTCTGGGTCTCACATCCGAGGGGAAGAGGGCATTGGAGCTGGCAGAGCAGGCAGTGCTGTCCAACCCCCGGCCCCATTGAATATCAAGGAGCCACTTCCGGTGTCTGTTTCCGCAGCTGGCTGAGCTCCCAGGACAGGCGTCTCGCGGTACCTGCCCCAGGGAGACAGAGGCTGAGCGGGAGCTGCAGCCACCAGCACAAGGAAACCACGCCTGGGGCCGGGGCACTGCAGCTGTGTGACCACTGCAGGAGGATGGGTGACATTTCTCCAGGCCAGAGGTGGGCTGGTCCTCAGCTGTGGTTCCCCAATTCATGTTTTCCAAGGCTTTCAGCATCGCTCTCTGGGCTCTTATCCCTGCTGCTTGGTCTGATCTAAAAATGAACTTCACAGCAACCTCTAGACTACTGTTTGACCTGGAATCTGGTGCCACATCCCAGCCACACAGGCACATCCCGTAACCATCACAGCCCCACCCCACCATCCTCAGACAAGTGCAAGTGAGCTTGCAACACACTGGCAGGTGCAGCCGGGCGGCACTCGGAGCAGGACTGGGCATGAGCAGCGTGAGCAGAGGCTTGGTGCAGGTGTGATGGCCGGGCCTCCAGCCACATGCCTCACCCCCGTGGTGGTTCTCAAGGTTTCCAGACTGTGCCTGAAGGAAAGAGCCTTCTAAGGAGGCTATGAGGGCTGGGCTATATAAAACGAAAAGTGATGAATAAGAGGTGTCAGACATGCTGCTTAGACGCTCGGTCACTGATTTTCAGAGTGAGCCCGCGTGGGTAGTCAGACGCCCCGCACGCTCAGACGCACTTGCCGACTGCAAGATGCTGACTCAGGTACTCTCAGCTCGTCTCTCTGCAGCATGTGTTCCTGTGCACAGACACGGACACATCCCCCCACGTCACCCCCACAACAATCCCCCACCACCAACAGACACTGGGAGTCCCGTCCCGGAGCTCGCCACCTCCACAGGCTCGGAGTCGGGAGCAGTTCTCCAGTCCCTGCCTTCCTGTTCCCAGTTTGCAGGTCCCGGCTCAGTCATGCACCGGCAAGGGACAGTGCTTTGCTCTCCCCAAACCCAGAAGCTGCCAGGAGGGTGAATTACTGACAGATGTCGCCAGGTGACTGCCACGTGTGTATTTAACGATGTTCTCAGCAGGCTTTCCTTGAGAACAGATCCTCAGCCACCAGGAAATAGAACAAGAGTCCCCGAAACTGACAGCAGCTGAGCCCCCAAGACCGGATGTGTTCCCAGTACTTTCCTTCCTTCGCGACCACTGAATCGCGTCCCCTCAACCACACATGGAAGCTCCAGCCCCCAAACCTCAGGATGCGACCTCCTTCAGAAATGGGGTCCTTGATGTTTAGTTAGATAGCAGGTGTCGTATTTGCTTGGGTGGGTCCTTCCTCCTAAGCTACATTGTCTTTATAAGAAGTAGAGGGTAGGGGCTGGGTGGTTCAGCTGCAAGCCAAGGAACCCCACAGACAAATGGCCATGCCCAGGAGCTAAGAAGGGGCCCAGAGGGGGCTCCGCTCGAGCCCAGTGCGGGAGGGGAGTTGGGGTGAGGCCGGGCAGGGGCATCCCCGGGCTTCCTGACCCCTCGGTTTGTGGCACTTGTTACAGCAGCTGCAGGAGCCCGAGGCCGGCAGGGTCTGCGAGGGGCCTTCTCCCGCCCACCTGCGAGGGAGAGAATTAGTTGAATTTCATCCTTTCTGGGAAGGATGATAATTTGCTCTGAGAGCTTGAACTTCGACCATGCCTGTTGTCTTACAGTCCGCGAAAATGTTCAATCAGCATTTGCCTCGAGTCCTCCCACTTACAGTCCTAGTGACTTGCCCCAGTTTCCTCACTGAGTGTTACTCATGTCTCCTGAATTCACAGTGGCCGTGTCCTTATCGTGGTCCTGGTTACTGAAGTCCATGCATTGGGGCTACTTCGATGGTGGCTCCTGGGCATCCGTGAAACGTCTGATTCCTCTCAGCTAGGGCCAGGCTACGTGAGGCCCCGGGGCTGACAGCAGAGGTGAGAACTGCAGAGAGTGCTTGCTCACGGTTAGGGAGCAAGGATGCCGTCCCTCCCCGGGAGCCTCGCTCCACACCGCTTCCCCGATTCCTAACACCAACCGAGCCAAATCCCACTGCCGGATCTCTCCTGAACGCAAGGGTGCTCTCCTTGCTGGGCGGGCACAAGCCGAGACGGCTCTCTTGATGCCCATTTAATCCTGGCCGAGCAGGAAGTCTGCCAGCACAGCACATGGCTCCCTTGTAAGTCGCTGGAGCTGACCGTATTCTCATTTAAAAGGAGCCGCGGCCACCCTGTTCAGAAGAAGCGAGCTGTGGAATGAGTCGGCGCTCATTAGCTGGCTAAGCCGCCTTGGGGAGAGCTCAGGACAAAACCTGGGGTCCCGGCTGGTTGGGAGCCGGTGAGCAGGAGCACTTTACTTCCTGGTGTTTTATTTCCTGGCTTCAGGGCTCCTTCTGAAGAAACAATGAGTCTCCTGCCGGGAAGGCAGACTTTGAAGACTCCGCTTCTATCTGTGGGCTTCTCCCCGGCTTCCCTGAGCGCCAACTGCTCTTTCTCTTCTGTTGCTCGTTTCCCACCAAAGCCCAAGCAGTGTGAAAGAGCGCATGGTCTGTATCGGCTACAAAGTATCTGGACACAAAGCCAGCCCCTCTGTACCCTGCTCAGAAGACCCATTCCTGCTATCCGAAGTCTGGCTGATTTTTCTCTCCACTGTTAATTCTCGTGCCTAGATTCGTTCATGGACACATTTCCACCCAGGTGAGCATTCACAAACACATTGTCAAATATATTTAAATGAGATCTAACTCTGGCAACCCTGCATGTTTTGATTTGAACAGGATTTGGTTGCCCAAGCCCTCCAAGATGCTTAAACCCCAAACTCTAACATTCACAGTTAACGCATTAATACTAGTGGCTGGTGCAGTAGGGTGGAAGTTTGCTCCAGTTATGGCGTCTGCAGGTTGGGGACCTTGGAAGGACTGGGTAGGACTGCATCGCTTTGGGTTAAGTGCTGGGGAGGAGCCCTGAGATGCTCTCGTGGTCGCGTTACAGGGAGAGACCACAAGGAGGCACACACAGAGTGTGCTCCGGTGTGTCTGCTTCCTCCATCCCCCACCTCCCCAGATGCCTGAACCATCTTGGACTGGGAAACTCCAAAAAAGCCACATTCCTTCCCAAGAAGGGGTTTTAGTTAAAGTGACACAGCGCTGGCTAATAAAGTGGACGAGTCATTAACTTATATGCGTTCCCATTCTGTCACCTGGCAGGAAGCAGATGATCTGTAAAGACTAATGCCACCCTCACCAGCGTAGGACACGACAATGGATAATAGCAAAAAACACCTGCCTCAGAGACACGAACAGAAACCGTCGCTGGGATTCGTTCCATCACTATAGATTTCTCTTGACCTAAGGTTCCCAAGATAGCACTATAGATATGATCTTAACATTCAGAAGCAAGATAGCTATGAAAATGTCATGAGTTGTGTCCAGGGACAGGGGTGTACATTGCAAAAACAGACAGAGCCCCAGAATTTAAGGGCACGGTCAGGAATCTTCCCTCTGAGAGCTAAGACACAAATCTCTATAAAACGATGAGCTTTGTCACCTGTGGAATCGGTTTCCGGTGAGAGCGGTTGGGAGATGCCTCTCTGCTGAGACCCGAGCTCTTCTCGGGGTCACACACAGAGGTGCACGTGTCCTCATCACCCTAAGATGACTTCAGGTCTCTGAAGGTGCCTTTAACTCCCTCTCTGGGGAGGCACCTGCTGAGGGTGCTGGGTGATTTGGTGCCTCATCTTCACAGGATGGTGGACAATGAGGGCACAGGTGTACACCAGCTCCGTGCCAGGGAGAAAGCCTGGGGTCTTCATTTCCCTGTTAGGTGAGCCCAGGAAGGAGGGGCTGGGCTCCTGGTTTCTTAAGTCCCTTCTTGAGTGCCTCTCAGAGGGCACCTGCTGAGACCCAGGCCTCCTGATGGTTCTAGGAACATTTCAACACAGTAAGGCAGTCTGAGCAGACCCCATGCTGAGAACGGCCATGAACGTGCTGCCTGCCTCAGCGCGTCCCATCCTGACTCGGCTTCTAGAATGCAGCCCTACTGCTGGTCTCCACGCAAAGGAGGAAGTCTGGGCACAGGGGCCCTGAGGGAGGGGTCCGCCCAGACCACACACTGCCGCACTGTGCTGAAACCAGAGCCAGAGCCCCATCAGGAAGCCACTCAAAGTGGGCAACGACGTCAGTGCCCGAGGGAGCTCCGTATACACTCAGAAGCTCGGGGGTGACTCCGGGTCCTGTGTGTCTTGGAACAGCTGGAGCCTGCACGGTCACGGGGTCCCGGCTGATCCGGGTGTGCCCTGGACACACTGAGAGGCACGGCATTCAGTCAGGCGCACGCGGCAAAGCTCACAAACCGGCTCCTCTGCAATTCAGCCACAGCGATTAGCACTGGGGTGGTGACATTTACGTAAGCACCTGCTTTGAAATTTATGCAATTTTTTAAATTCAGCAGAGTGGTTACTGTGGCTTGCGTTTAGCTAAAGGCAAGGGCTTCAGCGAGCCAGGACACCGAGCACCCTGGCTGGGAGTCACCTTTCACGCCTGTTCTCCCTGATTCGCTGCAGCTGGGGCACCAGAATCTTCCGTCCACCCCCTCGGCCAGGTCCACTAGCACCTCCGGCCACTCACTGTAGTTCCTGTGTCCCTAGCTGCGGTCAGTCTTCTCTGAGGCTCTGAATCTCTTGTGGAAGACTCAGCCGTGCTTCCGTCCCGGTGTTCCGGAGCTCCAAGGAGACTCGGGGGTTCCTGAAGCTGGAGGATCTGCCCCTGTCCTTAGTGTCACGGGCTGAACTGAGGTTCATGTCAGTCCTGAGACCTCCCCTCCCCATTTGGTCTTTCTCCCTCTGTCTCCGACCTCGCCCCCCCCCGCCTCGCTCTTTCACTCTCTTTTCCCCCCTCTCCCCCCTCATCCCTCCCCAGGGCACTTGCAGAGGTGTCCCTGTGTATGGAGCCAAGCTGGACCTGAAACATTTGGGCAGAGAACACAGGCCCTGCTCCCAGGCGGCTTGGGTGCATGGAAGACGTCTCTAGCCAGAGGGGCGAGGGTCGCACAGGCCGCTGATGGCCTGTGTGGCTGGGACACGCTGTATACAGGCATGGATAGGTCACACCACCCCATAAACACGCACTCTTATTACGGATCAAATAAAAAATTAATAGGGCTGCCTATGTCTTCTCTTAAATTGTATTCATTTCATTTTTATTTTGTGTTTTATGTTTAATCGACCAATAGTAATTGCATATCTTATACGTTTGTGGGGAACCCTGCGGTTTTCTGATAGACTTTTCTGAGCACATTGCGGAACACTTCCATCAAGGTGACGGCACTCCCGCTGTGCAGCTCCAAAGCGGGGGCAGTGCGGGGGCAGTGCGGGGGCTGGGACACGCTTCAGTCCACAGGCCAAGTGGCTTCTCGGGTTTTAACATCTCTGCAGCATTCCAGTCTCCGCTGTGAGGGAGACTTGGGGGATCCTGGGGATGTCTTTGGCAGTCAGCTGCACCATATGCAAAAATTAGCATTAACACGAAGAGGAGGAACAGGCATTTAAAGTCGCGTCACCGAAATGGAATTGTCTAGCAACATAAAGGTGTTGTCAGGCAGCGAACGTGATGCCCTGTTTTAGCTTCCCTGGACATAAGACTTGGGAGACATAATGTTTGCCACAAGAGGGACCCACGCAGCTGCCCGCCAGCCAACACCACCCCCAGCAGAAAAAGCAGAAGCCTCCCTTATCTGGATGTAGACGGGGGTGCCACACTCCCAGAACCGGCTTCAAACTCGGCAGCATTCACAGTGTCAGCGTGGGGTGCTGCACACATGGCTGTCAAGCTGCCTGCAACCCCAACAGGGATGCTTAAGGGCCACCCTCTTAGGTGTCTCTGATATCAAAAGTGACAGGCTTATCAATAAAATATTCGCGACATCCCGGGGATCTCGGCGGTTCTTGGTATGCTGAGCCACCTTGTGTGCCTTGTCTGCCAACATTTTGCCTCTGAGTTGTAAGAGACAATATTAGTTTGAAGTGGAAGAATAACACAAGCCCTCCTGGGAGCTGCAAAGACAGTAGGAAGGGCTGGGAGATGAAATTATCCAGGAGGTGGTAGATTTGCAATGGGCTTATCACAATCCTTTTTGATAATTCACGTTGCTGTTGCATTAGTCTGCATTAAGAATACCCGGCAGATCCGTCCCCAGACGCCCCTGTGAACTGCACAGTGCACACAGCAATTATTTATGTGGTGGAGTCTGCGTTCTACATGACATGAATTATTTCCTCTTCAGGCCCAGAAAGCATCCTAAATCAAGATTATGGAGGCCGAGTTTAAACCCTGGGTTTGTTCCACTGAGGAAGGTATCGACGGACTTAGAACAATGGGTGCACTCCTCATGCTGCCATCTCGTCTCTGCTCTCACTATGAATTTTTTTTCCAAACAAATGGAGTCCTCGTCCTGAGACCCTGTGCGTGGTGCACAGAGCGTGGGGAGATTTGCAAGTGTTTGTCTGACATCATGAAAGAATCATGGCCGCAGTGAGCGGCTCCAAGTGAGGGCTGAGTCGGGTTTTCAAATGTCCACTTCTAGCTGCAGAGGACCTCGGAGGTCGAGTCGGAGATTTCAACCACAAGGCCAACTGGTTAGGACAGAAGGGGTGGACAGCAAGCTGTCGACTGGTCGTTGGGTTGATGGACAGCATGGAGGGGTCAGGAAGGGGGCTCCATCTGTGCCGCCCTCTGCGTGCCCGTGCGGGGCACGTGCAGCCCAGCCTTGGCCGCAGTTCTCACTCAGGGCCCTTGGTGCTGGAGACCACGGGGAGGCCGGTTCTCCTTGCCTTGGCAGGGAGGGTGGGGCCCCCGGGAGGGTGGGACCCCCTTAGCCATGGGCCCCCGGGCAGTTCGTCTGCACCCTCAGCCTTGGCGGTAGGAGCGGTCAGCTTTGGTGCTCGCTCTATCCGGTAAAGATGTGCAGTGTTTGCAGGAAACTGAGCCGCGTCTGCCTGTGACGGCTGAGTCAGGGTTCATGGGTGGGTGGTTTCCCGCGGGCAGCTCCCAACAGTTCTGGTTCACCCATCAGGGCCACGTTGTGCTTTGCACGCCTCTCTCGTTTCCCACAGTGGTAGTGAGGGTGACCCTTCTCCCTGTGGTCCTCGTGGATGAGCAGACGCCCCACAGCCCATGCTCAGGGAAAACACAAACCCGAACAGAACCAGCACTGCTGGAGGAGGTGTCTCGCTGGTTGTCCTGTCTGGTCTGGGTGCGGTCGCGTTTCCCCGGCACTCCTGGAGGGCTGCCTGTCCCTGACTCTGCCGACTGGCTGTGCGGAGGTGTGGCACCGTCTCTGAGGGCCTGATGACCTAGCCATTCCCTGGTTTGCTGTGGGCGTGTGGCCTGAGTGACTGGGGCTGTGTGTGTTTCCATTCCAGGCTGCCAGCTACCCCGCTGTCACCCTTGCACAAGCAGCGGCTCCTAAAGCCGCGTCTCCTGGTGGGTGTGTGTGTGTGCGGCTGCTTTCCTGAATTCTTCAGAGTGAGCCCTCCCCCGACCGAAGGTCCCACCAGGATTGTCTGCGGTGGGGTCACCCGCGAGATCGCAGTGAGCGGCTCCAGAAGTGCGCTGGGCGGCCCCAGCCCGTGAGCTTGTATGTGGCTGTGAGGAGCTTTTATGTCTGCCTGCCTGTCTGTCTTCCGCTGCCCCTCGCTCTCTGTGTGTTCTCTGCTCCGAGTCAGGGCCTACACCAAGTTCTCTTTCTGAACACAGCCGCTGCCATCACCCGCTGGGAGCACAGCTGGGCTCCAGGGGCCCATCCCTCTGGTGGTCCCCAAGCAGTGCACGCTGCGGCGTTTGGTGGTGGTGGTGTGTGTACTGGCGGTGTGTGTGTCTGATGGTGTGTGTGGTGGTGGTGGTGGCACGTGTGTGGTGGTGTGTGTGTGTGATGGGGGCGTGTGGGTGTGGTGGTGGCATGTGTGTGTGTGTGTGTGTGTGTGTCCGTGCACATATGCAACTGACTTTTTGGCTCCCTTGTGTTAGAGACCCATAAACCTTCTGGAATTTAAGACAGATTTCTGCTTGTCAACAGGCTACAGGCTGTTTTTGAAGACGACGGAAGTTACTTTTGTCATCTCCCACATCACTGATTCGCTGTCTGGCCTTCTGACAGCTGTGAAAATAGCCTCAGCATTGCTCGTCTTCGTAGCTGAATTTCCAAGAGCACTCGGTTCCCCCGGAGAGGAGACTGCTGCGTGGATTCTGTAATTGTGGTCAGTCGGTCATCGTGTCTCCTTTTGGCCTGTGGCTGGAGAAATTCATGCCGGACTTCCTGCTCTCCTTTTGATTGAGTAAATGGTGGGTAAAGGGATTGGACACCCCCTTCCCCTTTGCTATGTTAAGTTTAAGTGTCCGTGTCCTCCCTAAAACTCATACTTTGGGCCCGTGGCCTGCAAGGCGAAGGTATCAGGAGATGGGGCCCTTGTGGGGTGATCAGGTCATGAGGGTGGGTTCCCCTGAGTGGGATGGGTGCCCCTACAGCAGAGGCCCTGGAGAGCCGCTTTGCCCCGCCCACCACGTGCGGCACGGAGGGAAGGCTCCGGTGCAGGAGCCGGGAAGCAGGCCCCAGGCAGCACAGGAGCTGGCAGCACCATGGCCTTGCAGTTCCTCTCCAGACTGCGAGGAGGAGGAAATGTCTGCGATGCGTAAGCTGCCCAGCCTAGGGCACTCTAGTTAGCACCTGGAACACACTAAACAATTTGTCTGTAGCCTTAACGCTGTCTGCATTGTGGGTCAACGCCTCACCCACCTCCGTGCACACACACATGGCCTGTGGGGAGTGGTCACAGGAATCTATCACCCCAAGCCATTGCTCTGTGGATGCCTACTTCAGGCAGGCACATTCACCAAAATAATAATAATAATAAATAAGGCAAGGAAAAGTGTAGCTAGAAGAGAAAGATTTTGTTTCTTTTTTTTTTAATTTTTATTTTTTTTTGACAGGCAGAGTGGACAGTGAGAGAGAGAGACAGAGAGAAAGGTCTTCCTTTGCCGTTGGTTCACCCTCCAATGGCCGCCACGGTCGGCGCGCTGCGGCCGGCGCACCGCGCTGATCCGATGGCAGGAGCCAGGAGCCAGGTGCTTCTCCTGGTCTCCCATGGGGTGCAGGGCCCAAGCACCTGGGCCATCCTCCACTGCACTCCCGGGCCACAGCAGAGAGCTGGCCTGGAAGAGGGGCAACCGGGACAGAATCCGGCGCCCTGACCGGGACTAGAACCCGGTGTGCCGGCGCCGCAAGGCAGAGGATTAGCCTAGTGAGCCGCAGCGCCTGCCCTTTGTTTCTTTTTTAACATGTATTTATTTGAAAGGAAGAGTTAGAGAGAGCTTCCATCCACTGGTTTACTCCTCATATGACTGGGTGTTCCAAAGCAAGGAACCAGGCACTTCCTCTGTGTCTCCCACATGAGTACCAGGGCCCAGGCACTTGGGCCGTCTTCTGTTGCTTTCCCAGGTACTTTAGCAGGGAGCTGGATCGGAAGTGGAGCAGCCTGGGACGTGGACTGGCGCCCATATGGGATGCCAGCATCCAGGCAGTGACTCCGCCTCCTACTCTATAATGTTGGCCCCAGGAAAAGGTTTGGCAACGGGCTTTTGTGGGGCTGGTGAGCAAGAGCAGACAGGTGAAGGAGACACGCTTGGTTTAATGCGCCTGTGTTGGGAGGGAGACAGCTTCCGGTCCACGTGGAGCTCTGAGCCCTCCTAAGACATTCACAGGGTGTGAGTGAGTGGCCATCTCCCCTGCCCACCAAGAAAACTCACAGACGAGCCAGGCCGTCTGTGGAAAGGCGCTGCAAGGGCTGACAGCAAGCTGTGGAGAAACTCTGAATCTGCACGGTGAACTTAAACCACAGTCTGCTTGACAAGGGTCAAAACTGCGTCATGACAGGTTTATGCATCAGTACCTCTTAAGTTTCCTGGCCTGCCCAAGATTTTATTGAATTCTTTGAATTTGTATGAAACATCACCAGCGCTTTGATATATTTTCCTGGCTCAAGGGGAAAAGTAGATAATAACATTTCTGAAGTTCATCAGCGATTCTGCTTTGATTGTCTTAGAATTTCTATAAAGTTTTATGACCTCGAGAGTTTCTAGACACTCAAAGAAAAAAAAGTTGAACTTGGAATGCTTCAAAACTGTCGATTTTGTTTTTGATCATCAGGAGTCTTTAAAAAGTTCATGGATATTGTATTTTATGAATTTCAAAGTCCATTTGCACAAAACAAATATCTTTCAATTCTGTTTCCCAGAGGCCAGCAGAGGAGAGTGCCAGGCCAACGGCTTTGTCCCGTGGTGGAGGCACTGCGGCGTTGCGCGTCGTCACCAGGAGGGAAACGGTGGGTGCAGCTCAGTTAGGGAGTCTGATCGAGGGGCCATAGCCACAGTTTCCTGACAGTGCTTGGTCGTCAGTTCCTGTTTGACTGCTGCTTCCTGCCGGGTCTATTACTTGCCTAATGCATCCATTGAGCTTTGTCCTAGATACGTGTATATAGGAAGAAACAGCGCATATTAGGTTAGGTTTCAGGCGCTCGCTGGAGCTCTTACAGATTATCCCCCAAAACATAACCCCTGGGAGATCCAAATCGCGGGGCTGCTTCGCGGGTCAGCTAGGAGTAGATGAAGCCATCAGGAACCTGAGGTGCTGCGGCCGTTGTGTGTTTCACAGTGCGGTTAGAGCTTGCCTTTGCTTCGTGGTGCAGACTGCACGGGGGCTGGGGAGCTGGGGGTGGTGGCGGTGGCGGTGGCGGTGATGGTGGCGGTACCCCAAGCTAACTTGCTCTGGACAGGGTGAGCTACAGCCGCCCTCCGTCGATCCTCCACCTGAGATGTGCTCTGGCTTCAATCACGCTCACTGATGCCCTGGCTCCAGAGGACGACCCCAGGGTCTTGGTATTGTCACGTGCTCACTGGCCGTCCACCTGTCTCGGCCTTGCGGCTGGGGCTCACTCACCACCCTCACATTTGACCCGAGTCCTGGGTGGCCCCTCAGACGTCACCTTCTGAAGAAATGACAAAAGAAGCCCAGGGAGTGGCGGAAGGAGGCCCTCCCCACCGTGGATCCTGCAGACTCCACTGGGACATTCGCTTTGCCGCTGCCAAGGCACCTGTTGTGCTGTGTCAGAGTAACTAAGGGAGAATTCCCAGGGCTTACTCCAGGAGCAGATGATTCGGTGAACAAAAAAAAAATCCTCAAAAGAAATTACAGAGGGTGAAACAGACTAAAAGCAGGGGTTTAATTGTGATTAAAGTTCTGTGTTTAATGAGCATAGGAGGAACCTTCTTCCGTTGTTTAATCTCTCCCTAACACCCAATTTAACAGACAGTAGTTGTAGAAGCTGAAACGAAGCATTCTTTAAATAATATATCATTCTAATTAATCCCTTTGAATTGAGAAAAATATTAAAGTTCTTAATGTAGATTATAAGCTAATAAATTCTAAGAAAACTTGAAGAGAGTGAGTCCAATAGAAAATGAGTGCCTTTTCAAATGAGCTTTGCCCACAGATCTTTGCAAAAATGGAACCGATGGTTAAGTACTATCCAAGCGCTGGACTAGATCTGCTCACTTTTTGTGGCCAACTAGTTTTATAGGGTCAATGAGAACCTTCTCTCCCTCCTGTCGGGATGGGACCCTAACCCTGACCATGCCGGAAGTCGGGATGGGACCCTAACCCTGACCTTGCCAGAAGTCTCATTTCACCGATCACGGCACGCATGCAACGGCTGAGCCAGCACCTCCCCGACCTGTGCAAGTGATGTGTGTAACCCAGGACTTGCCGAGAACAAGTCCAGGTCCTGCCTCAGGGCCTACGGAATCTTAACAGCAGGTGTGGGGATTTGTGATCTCAAGGAGAGAAGGCAACCTTCACTATAAAGGTATTAGAAGGAGACAGCAGCCTGGGTTAGATACTATGTGTCCAGCTGCAGCAGGTTAACCAATCCATGCAATGAAGTAATTCTTGCAGGTACCCACAAGGCCCGAGCTCTCAAAGCCGCAGGAGGGCGTTAAATTTCAGTCTTGTGTGTACAGTTGTAGCTTTTACGATCATGCTTTAAGGGAAATTTGTATACACGGATACTTCTCTTCTAACACTTAAGTCAACAACAGTGGTGACTGAAGTAAACCATAAATGGAATTACTCCCAGTGGGAGATCGGCAGCCGAAGCTCCTAATTCCAATCCCTTCCAGTGCGTTCTCGCCCTGCGAGGACTCGTCCTGGGCAGGTGCATTTTCCCAATCCTTCATTTTGGACTTGGCCATGGCCCCTGACCTATCAGCAGAGGTGGCAGAGTGACAGCTCTAAGCCCTAGCCAGCCTTTCACTGCCTCAAGTCTCTGCCAGCGCCAGGAGAGGGGCTTCCTGTGGTCGCTGCTGGTCCTTGAGTCTCTGCCTCAGAGAAGGGGTTGGGGGTGCACCTGCACCATGACGTGCTGTGTGCACATCTGGAAGCAGATCCACCCCCGAGAAGCCTGGCCCTGGTCAGCAGGACCCTGGGCGCCCCAGAGCCGCGTGCTCAACGCCAGCTCAATGACTGCTTTTCTAAGGCTCTGGGCGTGGGGCTGGCCGCAGGCAAGTCACAGAGAGGGCTTAGGTGGGATCTGGCGCCAGGGAGCCTGTGGAACATGTCCCGTGCTGTGCCCTCAGCAATCCTAAATGCAGACAAGAGCACAAAGAGCTTCAGGAAACTCCTGGAAAATTCTCTTTTCATTCTGTTATCCATGGACTGTTGGACAGCCTTTTGACCTTGGCACCCACGGGTAAAAACAACAGAACTGCACCCGTGCTGGGCGTGTCTCCCAAATACATAATATTCTGGTCCTTTCCTATAAGTTTCTGCCTCTGTAGCGAAAATAATTTCAGTCCTAACAATTGTAAAACCGACGTCTAACGATGTCCCACAGTCATGGATACGTGGCCATCGGGGCTAAAGTTGCCACTCTGCACCGTGACCACCTGATAGTAAAATCAAGCATCTTAGCAGGTTTGAGTTTTTCATAAGCGCCCGTGTTCTTCGTTTCTGAGTGTGAACCCTAACACCCTGGACCCTTTGAGCTGCGTAGCAAGTGCAGGTGTCGTCTTTTCCATCATGCTTCGTGCTTTGTCTCCAGTTCTCCCTTAGAGCCGAGAGCCCGGCCTCTGCCCTCTGTCTCTCTGAGCTGCTCCACGCGGCAGCCCCTGCCTCCCTCTTGCTCTGTCCCTTCTCCCTCCGGGACCCCCCGCAGGGTGTGAGCCTCTCTTAGCTGTGGACATCACGGCCGTCAGGTTCCTTGTGTTGGAAGCCCTATACTTCATCTCTGTGTGAGAGCCCAGGCTCACAGGGGCGCCCAGGGCTGTTCCCCAATCACAAGCATGAGCCAGCCTCACGCTCACCCTTTCTTAGCACCTCTTGGCAAGGTCGCATGTGGACAATCCTGTGAAAAGAGCCCTGTCTGAGCTGCAAGGCGAGGGCCACAAGCTTTGCGAGGTGATGAGACCCTGGCTCTGACCCATGGGGGTGCATCCAGACAGAACCGCGTTCTCCCCGGGGTGGGGGGAGACCTTCCTGGGTGGATGAACGCCTTGGGGGCTCACCCTCTGGTTCTGCAAGGGCTTGCTAATGACACTGCTATACCTTCTGCATTGCAAAAGTGGAACAAAACCACACCTGTAAGGAGTCCGGCACTCCCGAGGCTGCTTAGTCGGGGTTTGCTAGCGTTATTAGCCAGTGATGGGTTCCTGAGCACGGGCAGGTTTCTCTGGCTGCAGGACAGGGCATAAAACGTTAGTAGTCGGCATCTTGGATTCTAATGTTCTTTAACGGTAGTCAGGAAACAGCAGCACCATTCACCATTCCTAATAAGGGGCCGTGCACTTTTTTTTAAAAAAGAAGACACCATTTTCTTTGTTTTCCATCATGAGAACATCTTATTTTCAAAACAGGAAGGTCCAGTTTGGGAATTTAGAGTCTTGCTTTCATTCCAAATCTGCCTGAAACATCCAGAGGCCATTCCACAGGACGGGTGTGCCCAGGTGACTTTTATTGTTAGGTTGCGACTGCGTGGACCTGATTCCGGCTCCCCTGAGCCTGC